GATTTCGTGAGGAACGTGGGCGGCAGACCAACACCATACGATAAGGGGGATTGCCAGGCATTAGCCTCTTGATCCGACTTGTGCTTATTATATATTAACACTCTTGATTAGTGCTTNCATCCAGTCATTGCTGTTGAGTTAGGCCACGTCGAAAGTTGTAGAAAGCATTGCGCGAAAATGCTCACGATTCAACCCCATAACTTGGCCCAAACAAAATCTTATAACTTAGTGTAAACAATATAAATCGCGCTCAAATTTCGCAACGTATCCTCAAAATAGTCAAACTTTACGATAGTGATGTCAGTTGCTAGATTGCTACACTAGTGTTGCCAAATCTCAAAATAAAAAAGGCAGCCCTCGTAGCTTGGCAATAAAACTTCAGAGGATAAGAAAGTTGTGGCAACAATTAGCTGTGAAACCACATATAAAATTTATCAGCCGGATCAGGCCAGGCTTCTCCTCCTTTTATTCTCGGAAAAATCGCTTGGCTAGAATAACACAGAACATTTCTTTTTACTACTTATGTTCCACCATTCAATGATGCAATGCTTGATAAAATAATATCTGAAAAAAGAAATCTAATAATGAATATTTGATAATCCCGTGTCATTCTTATGCAGTCGCGCTCTGTAGATTCCACTTTTCATGAACAATCATACTTCAAGAATTTTGTTGACGAATACGGTATAATGTAATTCTATATGGCGTAATTATAGACCACGGACCTCCTTCACTGAAGGATCTCCAGTCGGTTGGTGACGAGGTTAGGTGACGCGAGCCGAGGTCGCGGCAAGTTGAGTGAATCGCCAATCGCAGATTATCCATGCCTGCGTATGTAGAGAATATACGAGTGCGGCTGCTTTACCGCACATCGGTTCAGCCAAAAGTTGTGTTCGAGTAACCGGGAAGAAATCCAGAAGGCGATTCGGGGTCGCCTTCGTAAGTTAAGCCCTTTGCCCACTGTGGATGGCCTGGCTAGCTACCCAGAATCAATGAAGCCCCCAGGTCAGAAACTGGCCAGCTACTTGTGTACAGGCCCTCAATTCCAGTACCTGAGGGAGAACCGATATCACTGCTCTAGGGATAGCCTGTTAAAATCTCGGAGCTATGACAGGCTGTTCTAAAGGAGGGGAATTGATATGTCGACCTGGGCTTTCAGCGCAAGCGATTGCATCCAAAGCGTACATCGAAATCTAATGGTGCAAGCTAGGAATATTAAACACGACATTATCAGGCCCACCGGGACGAGGACATCATCAGGCCGACCGGAACGTGAACGTTACCCATTGAACGGGCCGGTCGGCCTGATGATGCCATATTTGATATTAAATTCGTATTTGGGCAATTGTTCCTTGAAACATGCCATAACAGAGGCCTCGCCGTACAGGTGTCCTTTTTAATAAACACTTGGCCACGAAAATCGATTCATAAGAGAGGTTGATAATCTGAATCGAACGTTCGCGATTGTGAAGACGTAGGTCAACCCCAGCTCTGAAAATCTTCGTTGCTTACGCATTTTCCAAGATTACTCCTGTTCCCCTGTACCAAAGCGTCCGATTTCGTGAGGAACGTGGGCGGCAGACCAACACCATATGAAAAGGGGGATTGCCAGGCATTAGCCTTTTGACCCGACTTGTGCTTATTATATATTAATACTCTTGATTAGTGCTTAGATACGATTAAGGAAGTCAGTTGTCGAAAAAAGATTCACCTGATGTATGTCACAGGCAGGGACAGATGATTCTGTTTCATCTGAGTCGACGGAATCCTTCTTCGAAGAATGTTCCAGTCTAAACCGACAATGATCGCGATAAGAGCTGGGATAACGATGATCAATTAGCCGAGGGCGTCAACTCGGATTCAAAACATGTACTGCTTCAGCAAACTCACTCTAAGATCAGATCACACATTGAAGAGAGCGGTGGCGCAAGCATATGGATACATTCCAAACGTTCACATTCTGACTCGGCTCGCTCACAGCAATATTCGATGAGGACTCGCCAAAAGAAGGCGTACTGGGCTTGATCGGTTTTCGATAAACTAAACCAAATAATGGTTTGAAGGTATAAAGAGGAAGAACCTAAGAAGAAAGCTGGAAATACGTATTTAAGCGAAAAGGATTCTATAGGAAATGAATGACTTTATTCAAGTTTCATAAAAAGCACCCAAGCATATTTCCGCAAGCAACACGCAAGAGCGTTTGCGACTGATACTTTGGATAGATATCCTAGTTTTTTGACAGAAAGAAACTACTGCTTCCCCCTTTTCTGTCAGTGAAACAGGATGACACAAGCTCCACCCCTGTGTGCAAGTCATCCTACCTGCATACCCCTGAAGAAGTTATCCAACTACCATTTTGTGATCTGAACTCTTTTACAATTGGAGACTTCTTCCACAAACTTCCCCTCTATAGCATGAACTCTCTCACAGCCAGCAGCTCTTCTCCGTCTTCCACCTCTTGTACCTGCTGTCCCTTTCGTACCTTCCTGAACGTCGAAGTTCCTTAAAGTCAAACATCTGAGTTTTAGTGCAATGCTAACCCATGTTGAAGTCGCCATCTTGTACAGTAATAATTAAACGTGTTTCAGCAGTGTTCAACTCAACCTTGATACCTATATTTCCCTTTAACAAACCGTCCCCTTTTTCTAACAGTTCAGGAAGTTAGAACGGACGTCGTTACGAGAGTTATAACGTTAAAAGCGCGCTCAAACACACTGAAAAAACCTTCCTGCTCCTTCACCACAAAACCGCTGCCAACTTGCCACTTCCTACTTTATTGTCAGTGCCTAGGCTGCTTCGAAATTCGCTTCAGCATTACCAATTTTAATCAACTACCACACCCAAAGTACGTGTTCACTTAAACTTATCCCTGCTTCCGGACCACTGCTTTCTCGGAACAACTCCTACCCAGTAGTGCGCCGTGCAGGGAATGGACAACCAATTTTCGAATTGGGTGGNTTCCCATCGCGTAGTGAACATTAGCCATACACACTAATTCTTCTGAGCCTTTTAGTTGTTACGGTCGAAAGTATGAATTTTTGCCCTCAGTAGGAGAGAGATCATTTCATCACATCAACGCTGCATCCAAACCGAATACGGGTTTCTGCCAGACGCCTTCTTACTATGCACGTGTACTGGCCTGCATGCGGTCTCACACTACACAACCCTTCCACAATGGAGAATTCAGCCAACTTTCGCATACAAAAGCGCGTATATATACGAATGCATGCTCATTGATTTACAATACATATGAATGTCGATCATTTGCCATAAATGAGAATTGCCGTCAAAGTAAGTAAAACAAAATCCGAACGATAATAAATCACACCTGCTATCTAACAAATTCATGTAGTTGTGAGTCGACAATACTTCCGGAAAGGTGTTGTCATTAACGAGTGAGGAAACAAAATGAGTTAGGCTGCAGTGATGTAAATGTAACTTGTGACGAATCACATCGAAAATAAAGAAAAGAGTCGCACGTGCCAATACATCCGCCTTAAATGGTGAAACCTCCACAATTCCATACTAAACTACGAAAAAAGGAACAAAACTCATTTCACAAGCATTCTTTCTGCAAACCTCACATACCTCCTGGCTGTCACAGAAATCGATCATTCCCAGTAAACCTTGAGCGGCTGCACCTAGACCATGATCACAATTCTTTTGACGCATACCACTCAAGATGGTTCTTTCGTCAGCGCTGTCATGCTCCTGCTCTGAAGCAGAAAAATAACATGAAGTGAATTACTTGCAGAGTTTTCGAATCTCAGCAAGCATCGATGACTGAAAAACTAATTGGGGTTTCCTTTCAATACCAAAGGTGCCTTGTCATGATGCAATTACTTTATCTTTCAGCAACTTCTGATTCATTAGTAACTGCTTTAATTTATTTTACAGTTATTGGTTGAGCCATTAAAACTAAAGCAGAAAGCTGTTAGTCGCCGATCTAGAAAAGAGAGGAAAACAACCAAAGGAGTTGCTAAATTTCGAAATATAGCTAGACATAAAAACCAAGGCAAAACCGCTCTTGACACTGATCCTTTTGACCTAACAATAAGACGGGTTAATGGGGTTTCCTAACCGTGTCTCTGTTTTACGATTTTGAAAGGATACTAGTTTTAAATATCAACTCTTATTATTTTAGTGAGCGTCAGGAGAACGCACACAATCGTCCTCCTGACGCTCACTAAAAGCATTTATGGCCTCAGCAAAATGGCTTTCTTATTCTTACGACGAGCTATGGGTNNNAACGGATACCTTAACACCCCATCGATGACTGAATCTAAGGGGAATTTCAAGAATAATCGGTGAAAAGCATCCATCACAAAAATCAAGCATGTAATAGTAACGACTAACTGATATCAGCTGCGAGTTCTCCTTCTGCGTTACGTTCCCCGCTCTCCCTTCCCTCATTTCTTCGTTTTTGCGCCCGTTGGATGAATGAAAGCCATCCCGGAATTAATACCGAGAACGCCGCGTCCATGACGGATGCTGAAAAATGGAGTAGCTGCTTAGGAAAACACTCACATATACGCATACAAGACGATGCCACACTGCAAAGGAACCCAAATTGTTATATGAAATTGCTTTCTCGAACTCTCTTTGAGCCTCGTTAATAACTTCAAAACGTTTTTTGAAGGTTGGTCAAAGGTTTATAGATATTTTCTAAGAAAACACTAGGCTGGTAAGATCTATCAACTTTTTCTGAAACCTATACTCTTTTATGGCATCGCCTGCAATCTGTATTTCCTCCAATATTCGATGATTCCTTCATTATATTTCCGCATTAGATTGCTCCATGACTCTCTTTATACGATTTTTTGCTTATTTCAGGACAAGGCATGTATATGTTTCAGAATAACTCATTGCCTTATCGATTGTATAGTCCGTCATTTGATTTCCCATTTCTAACAAGAAGGTGAGTGCTCTGCTAGCAATTAGATTTTCGAAAA